ATTCATTTCCACATTGTTTGCAAGGGATTCTGCTCAGAGCATCTGCATTCCTGTGTAAATTGCCTGCTCTATGTTGAATCTGTATTTCATAGGTAGATAATGTTTCGATCCACCTTGCTATCTGTCCTTCCGCATCTTTCTTATTTAAGAGCCATCTCAAAGAACTGTGGTCGGCACGTACAAGTAGTGTCTAAAATGTTTGACAAAGTTAACAATTGAAAGTAACTCCTTGCGTGTAACGCAATATTTGCGTTCAGCTTTAGTTAGACAGCGACTCGCATAATAGATTACTTTCTCATCCCCATCCTTTACTTGAGACAAAACAGCGCCAATTGCTGTGTCACTTGCGTCGGTGTCAAGGATAAAAGGTTTCGAAAAGTCTGGGTGCGCAAGCACAGGTGCTTTCACTAACTTATCTCGTAAAATGTCGAATGACTCTTGACACTCTTCCGACCAAATGTACCTTTTACTCTGCTGGGTCAATGCATGAAGTGGTTTGGCTAAAGCAGCGAAGTTGGGTACAAACTTTCTATAGTAGCTACAGAAACCCAAAAAGGATCGCAGCTCCGTGATATTTTGTGGTTGAGGCCAATGTCGGATAGCGTCCGTTTTCTTTGGGTCTGTTGAAATTCCCTGTTCAGAAACCACATGCCCCAAATAGTCAACACTGTTAGCAAACAGTGTACATTTCTTTGCTTTTAGCTTTAACCCTGCTGCTGCTAATTTATCAAACACTTTTGATAAGTTCTGGAACATGCCTTCAAAGGTTTTGGAGTATACAATAATGTCATCGAGGTAAATGAGGCAAATGTCCCATTGTAGACCTGCTAAGACAGTCTCCATCAACCTCTCGAAGGTAGCCGGGGCATTACATAGCCCGAATGGCATTACATTGAAATGATACAAGCCATTTCGAGTGACAAATGCCGTCTTGGCTTTATCTTTTGCGTCCATCTCTATTTGACAGTATCCTGAATGGAGATCGAGTGTCGAGAACCATTTGCATCCCGCTAGCTGATCTAGTGTTTCGTCTATGCGGGGTATAGGATAAGCGTCTTTCTCTGTGATGGCATTGAGGCGACTATAATCAATGCAAAATCTCGTAGATCCGTCTTTCTTCTTTACTAGGACAACCCGTGAAGCCCAAGGGCTCTTAGACGGTTCAATAACTTTATTTTCTAACATTTCTTGGACATGTTTATCCACCTCTGCATTCATGTGTTCTGGGAGCCTCCTAGGAACTTCTTTGATGGGCTTATGACTTCCTGTATCAATGCTGTGTTTAGTCATATCAGTTCGTCCCACATCTTTATCGGATTTGGTAAAGATGTGTGCGTATTTACACAAAAGCTGTTTCACCATCTTTGCTTGCCTTTTACTGTGATTTGCTATTGTTTTCTTAAACAATGATGTCATGTATTCAGGCAAAGTCTCACTGGATTCTGTTTCATTTAATCCACCCTCAAGTATCTCTTCTACTGGTGCCAATTGTCCAACTGCAGTGCGAACATGTGTTGTGATATTTCTTTCAGTTGGGTTAAACAAACGTATTGGAACACAATTATTTCCCTTCACTAAGGTCCTTCCTACCAAACCTCTATCAGAATTTAAGTATGAGCAGGAGGGTTCTACAACACCAAATTCTGTACCAAATTCTTGGTTTTCTGGAACAATGACCTTCCCAGTGGTGACTATTTCACTCTTTGAAGGAACTGACAAGGTTTGTGATGTAACGATTCTGAAACAACCTATTCTCCCTTCAAATTTTAAACATTGAGTTTCATCTCCCCAGAATAAGTGTCTTATCGTGTAGATTGATTACACCTTTGTTATTCTGCAAACAGTCAAGACCCAAAATCGCATCTACATTAATGTCTGCAATTAAAGATGTTTGCTATATGATTTTCTTCCCAAATTTAAACTTTATAAGTGTCTTCCCCAAAATACTCAAAGGAGTACCTGTAGCTGACAAGATATTTAAGTCCGTTTCAGCCAACTCTATCTTCTTATCACGGTTTATGACTTCAAATACCTTTTGTGATAGAAGAGTTACTGTTGCTCCTGTATCTACTAATGTTGTAATCGGAACATCATTAGCAGTCCCCAAGACGTACATGCTTGGTTCGTTAACTTTTCTCTGTACTCCAATACAACCTTTCTTGATTGGTCTCCTGTTTTCTTCTGAAGCTAAATGTTTTGCGGTGCCTTCTTTAGTGTAACCCTTTTTCTTTAGTCCTCCAGGTGGTCCAGAACCAAACTCTTCGAAATTATCTTTCCTTTTCTCTGTATTCTGCAGCCTACAGTTTCTCTTGAAGTGCCCAGGTTTCCCACAATTAAAGCACTTTTTAGTAGTTGTATCACTTGATTTCTTATTGAACTTTCGTGAGGAATACGAAGGAAATTCCTTGTTTGGGAACTTTTGCTGCTCATGCTTTATTTTGTTAACATCTTTTTGAAGACTCAGAAGCATATCTTTCATAGATTTCATCACTTCTTCCAGAGTATCCGAGTTGGTTTAAACTGGTGGTCTTTCACTGCCTATCTCTCGAGCAAAAGCATCACTATGCTTTTTGCGCTCTGCACCTATGAAAGCATCTAGTTCCACCGCGTGCCTTATAGCATCGTTCAGACTTCCTGGTCTTGATTGTTTTATTCTAAGACGCATGTCAAAGCTTGTTAGAGCATCTATGAAATACTCTTTGGCTAGTGTTTGATTTACAGGAGAAAAACGCTCCTCCAGAGATCTTGACAATTCTTGAAAGTTCATTTGTAACCTATCTGGAAGGTTTCCAAGCACACCTTGGGCTTGTCCACGTAGGGATACTGCCAAATACATTCCCTTCTCTTCCTCCGACCACTTGTTTAATGATGCACAGGCATTAAAATGGGACCTGTAGTCTAACCATGACGTTGTTCCGTCATATGTAGCAGGTTTTAAGCTGCTTAGTTTATTAGCCCTGTTTCCTGGCCCTTCTTCAAAACTATGCCTCTGAAATCGTCCGTCCTGGCTTCTCCGCAATGTAATATTACTTGCATCCCTGAACGGTGTTTCAAGATATATGCCAGAATTCCGTGAACTATCGTCTTTTCTTTCATCTGAGGCAGAAGGGGATCTGAAAGCATTTTCTATACCAACATTAAACTTTACTTTGGGTTTGGCACCTCCGTAATCTTCTTCATTCTGTTTTGATTCCTTTTGTCCTGAAGCACCAATTCCAGAATCTCTAACAGTTATTGGAGTAGATATCTTTTGATGTTCCTTTTGTTGAAGTAGAATACTTTCATTAGAAAGCGCTTTTACTTGCTCTTCCAAATAGCTTATCTCTTTATCTAGCGTATCCTCCATGACTTTGACCTAAACGTTTTGTACCTAAAAACTTCAAACCCCGTTTGAAACTTACAGTTTTAAAACTATCTCTTAATATTAACCACAAATTAATAAAGTATGGGATATGTACTTCAAATGGTTTGTCTGCAGCGATTTGAGACCCGCATATGAAGTACACTCCCGTCCTTAAAAGTTAACCTAAAAATAACAACACAAAAATTTGTTTCCCTTGTTTAGATCATCCCACCACTGCCACCAAATTTTGTAATATGTACTGTGGGTTCTCCAGTCATGGAGAAAGAAATATATATAATTTTCCTTACGTTGCCTACGTCTATAATTGATTGGTGAAAATAAACTAAAAGAGAATTATGTGGCATTAGACTTACAAAATATGTACAACAATGATTCTCAAATGATTCTTAAATGTTCCTAAGCTATCCCAGTGCTTTAACTTTCAAGGTCTGAAACCAATTATTTGAGCTTCCAAAGCTCCCAGACCTTATGTGTCAGAGCAGTGTCTCCAAACACTCTCTATTAAATATTTATTATAATAGGTTTGGAACCTAATGCACCCCAAATGGTATGTCTTCAGTATACTGAGACCCGCAAATGAGGCACAATAAATTCCTTACCTTTTAACATGATCCACGCTGATCAGCTGCCACTGGTAGACTAACTACGAGCATCAGCGCTCGCCAGTATTTATAGTTACCCAAAGACGCTGAGTCATCGTCTTTGTCTTAGTCACTAAAACGTTTAATGTTATATAGCTAATACACTAGGAAGCATCTGATTGACAACTAATTTGCATATTATTAATTTGATCAAGGAAATTTCTTCTACAGAATTCTCAAAACGTCAGTTGCGCGTTTGAAAGAACTGGAATAAACTTGACGTCAATAAAAGCTTGCGTCCGATGTAGCTTACTTGAAAACAACAAACGACAGAGGAAACATGCTTGCGAGTGCAGAAATAACGAAACTTTATATGATAAAAGACTCTTAGAATATCAAACAAACAATAAAAAGGTCAGTAAATCTTTTTAGAAGTAGCGAGGAGTTTGAAAGCTTTCTAAACGTGAACGTAAAGATGATCGACGATTTTTATTTTTGCTGACTTAATTTAAGAAGACATTCAGTATAATAAAATAAATGGTGCCTGTTTTGGAGGGTAACAGTTGAAATTGCCACCCCTCGGAAAACCATTGTCAACCTCCGCTGACGCGTCGGTTGACAATGGTTTTCCTTGGGGTGTCAATTTCAACTGTCACCCTCCAAAACAGGCACCATTTATATATTACCATCAAATTGATTTCAATAATGGCTATCTGGTACCGCTTGAAGGATCGCAGGCAGGAGTTATCTCTCCATAAGTGCGTAAGCGGTACCAGATAACCTCAATCTAGACGCACGGACGTATGGACAACCAGATATTAATATCCTCCACTTTTAGTGAGAGACAATAATAGCATCACATCATCTTAGACACCAAAAGCGGGGGACCACAATTATTTGAATTTCATTTGCTTGTTAAAATTATTTTACAATTAAATCCGGAAGACAAGCCCTCTCGTCATAGGGTGGTATATAAAGTTTTCATGCAATCGGTGTGCCATAGTAATGGGAATTTAAACCGAAAGTTGCACAGCAACGGGACCTCGAGGATTACAATGGCCGAGTCAAAAAACGATACCCCTGTCGATAACCCTGAGAGTGATCAATGTCATTGTCCAATATATCTTGAGAAGGTAAGAAATCCGAAATATCTGCTGTGTTATCATACATTTTGTGAGTCGTGTATTCAGACTTATATTTCAAGTACGGCGACACGTAAGGAAAATGAAACACTAAAATCGATAGAATGTCCAGTGTGTCGTAGATGTATCGAGGCTCCGCGGAATGACATCTCGAGTGAAGATTGGGCATCAGAACTACCACAGAATAAACTTCTTTTAACTATATCCGTAGATCCCGAGCAAGATGAAAGTAAATTCTGTATGTTTTGCAAACGATCAGAGAAAGTGGTACCTGCGAAGCACTGGTGCAAAGTTTGTATGGAAGCTATTTGCGAAGATTGTAAATCATTACATAGAAATGTGCCAGTTTTGCAGAATCATAAAATTGTAAATCTTTCAAACATCAAGGAGGTGAATAGTGAAGTTGAGATAGAAGAATCATGTCTTTTGCACAAAGGAAAAGTACTTGATGTGTTTTGCCACGACCATCAAAAGCTATGCTGTAGTGTATGCCTTGTGAAAGAGCATAAATTGTGTAAGAATATAGACACAATTGAAGATATAGCTCTGGGTATTGATCGAGATAGCATTCAAATGACTGCTTCAAAATATATCGATTTGGAGAAATGTGTAAAAGACATTCTATCAGAAAATCTGAAAAAAGTATCAAAACTTCATACCAGGAAGCAAGAAATATGTATGACCACTGAAGAGAAAGTTCAAGAAATCAAATCATTAGTGGACAATGCATATGCCATGTGGCTGAAACGCTTTGAACAGAATCATGCAGATTCTGTTGGAAACATCGAAATTGCTTCGGAGGAGTTGAGACGGTTTTCCACTACAGTACATGAAGCAAGAACCATGCTACAGTCAGTGTTGAAGAATGGGTCGTCTAAACAATTGTTTGTTACAAATTATAAATTGCAAAACCAGATTTCTGACCACATCACTCGATTAAAATCCTTAGATATTTGGACTTTCTCTGAAGATTACAAGCAAAATAACTCGGACTTTCTCAGCCAAATGTCCAAAGCAAAAGAGTTTGAAGACGTAGTATTGTCTAGACTACAATCAACGGCAGTGGAGAGAATTTTATTGAGCGCTCCAGACAAAGATGATATATTAAAAAGGAGACAAACCATGTCTCAAAAGGACTGGATGAAAGTCACCTTTAAGAAATTATCACAGATTACCGGTTTCTCAGTAAGAGTTTATTATGGGTTGTTTATACATGACACAAGAATTATATTATCTTTTACCAACCCACCTTCACTGAAGATATACGACATCAGTAAGGCCACAGGAAAATGTGTTCACACTGAGACGTGTCAGAAGGCACCATACGGTCTCTGTCACTCTGGTTGGAACTTGAATGAATTCTATGTTTCCTTTGAAACATTTATCACTCATTATCGAGTTGATGTCGCAGAAACTATAACATTCACAAAGGTGAGAACCATTCAGTTGAAAGAACCCATGTTGGCAATTTCTCGTGGTCTAACAACAGCGTTTGCCGCCAATCGTTCAGAAAGAATGATATGTTCTTTAGATTTTTGCATTATCCATAGTTCACCATATAATTTTTGGGGAGATGTTCCCTTTGTGTCCTCTTCATTGATTTCAGATCGTCATTGTTTCATACAGGATGGGATGGCCGTGGCAGTGGACCAGAATAACAAAGAGATTTTTAGAAGTACTCAGGATACAACTTTTCGAGGACTTTCCTTTGACCTACAAGATAATATTTTGGTGTGTGATTGGTCACCTAAACTTAAACAGTTTAAACACGATAAAAGTGGGGGCGGAGAGATTGACGTTGCAGACATGACTAGCACTTATAACGTTGTACTTCATCCAGCAGGAGAGAAGGTATTGGTGTTAAGCCATGATATAAAATGTTGTGTATACCAAGTATCATAGAAATGGTAGACACATGTAGATCGCAGCTCAAAATCCATTTCGTAATGAATACGAATACTTTAAACACATCTACTAATTAGACTTCAAAACCTTCCCAGGGAAAAGATAAAGGAAATTAAAACACTTTTTTATGATTTATATGGAACTCCAAGATTAGCAAAAAATGATATTATTCAGAGTTATGAAGAGATAGGTTTATGAATGTTATGTCTTGATTCTTTTTGTAAAGTCTGAAATTAAATTAATTCTTACTTTTTACTGATACATGTCTGGCAAGTCGGAAAATTTCCTAATAAGTACTCTTCCAAATTTAGCAAATATTGTGATTCTTGGAAGATTGATACTAAATCATATGCATTTGTCAAATATTTGTAAAAATCTATTTTTATTATTATGAAATCTGTTTTAATACGACCAATAAACTTTTATAGATTAGGCATCATGTTTTATTTTCATTACATAGTTTATAAAATTGTGTTACATTTTCATTATTATTAGCAATAACACTGTTTAGTGATTGCCATAGAAATCTTTCATCATTCAATAACTTGTACAATTCTTGTAAATCAGTACGATAAAGATTTTTAAAAGATTTGTCTTCTCCTGGGGTCATGGGCGGTTTTCTAATCTTGTTTTGGTAACATAAACTCTCTGATATCGTAATATTCAGTTTTTCCAATTCATCATCAGTCAGATCACCTAAAAATAACAAATAAAATAATTATGAAAACCTCTAAATCACTTTAAAACATGTTCATATATTGTTATTGTCAACATAGTGTTTATTTCCAAAATATGAAGGCCACAGATAGAAAGATAAATGAATTGGGAGAGGGCTAAAATAGGCTTTGCCTGCTGCCCAATCCCATTAACTTTTATTTGTGAATAAAAATTTTGTATGAATAGAAAAAGAGGTAAATGATGATAAAGTTACTGATACAAATGTCCATGATGTTGAAACTTTAAAAGAAGCATTAAACAAACTTTTTTAAATGCTTGCGTAATTGCAGAAATTTAAATACTTTTCTGACAACTGAGGACGCGTTAGATGAGTAGTCTTCTGTACGTAGAATTAACATCTGATCACGTGGAAATACTGACAACCATTCTCTTAGATAAACTGCGTAAAATCCTAAATGTATTCTCATCTGAAAATAGAAAAAAATATTTATTGAAAGGTAATTATATCAAATTAATACATTTTCTCTCAAAAAAATTATTGTACGAACCTTAACCTACAGCGCATCAGAGTAAAAAGTATTAATACGAAATTGAATGTAGATTTACATTTAGTTATATAACTTTGTCAATTTATTTACTGAAGAGTTCTACTTCCGGTGTAACGTCGAAAAGTGACCCCCGTAGAATATTGACCAGGGGGTCATTTTTCTACGTAGAAAAACTACCCCGGGTAAATATTCTACGACAAGCAGGGTCATTTTTCGACTGTAGAAGAACATTCCAGACCAGTAATTCTACGACTCCACACACGTTGAAAAATGACTCCCGTAGAATTTTGACCCCCTACTTTTTTATACAATAAAATCTTATATATGTGTCTCCTGATATTTTTTCATACATTCTAATGCAAGTAGGGGGGATTTTATATGTTCTTTAATTCTTTCCAACATATATTTGATTGCATATCTTAATAGTAGCATCAATATCAATGTATCTGGTATGGATTTATTTTTGACTTGCAGAATCCCAATGAATATTTTATTCATGGAGGAGCATAGATTTATCATTATATTTTTGGGAGCTTTTTATCATTCAAAGGTTTTGTTCCGAAATGGCATGATATGTTTCTGATAACTATAAACTTAGAATTTTTTTTTACAAATCCAAAAACATAAAACATAGAAGCAAAAAAAAGAAACGTTATTTAACTATATAAATTCAATTTCGTTAGCTCTTGTATTTAAACTTACATATACATCTGTATGGAAGAAGGATATGGAGATAATGAACAGTATTCAATATCAAAGTCCATCAAACAATACAAAATAGGAGCAGAGCAAACACTGACCTCCAAAACATCAGAGGTGGGATCAGGTACCATGGAAGAGTGAGCATCCCCTGCTGACCGGTCGCATCCCCTGCTGACCGGTCACACCCGCCGCGTGATCCTTGTCATGATCGGGGAATAACGGAAAAATCCGTCGTCAATTCAGTGTATAAATAATGGACTAACAATAAGTATGAAAATCTTCGATCAGCATTTGACTCAATGATAAATTGTATTTGCTGACAAGGTCATTGTATCGACCTTATAACTTACGAAATGATGACTTTAAACGAATATTATTTTTTCATCAACTTGCTTAATTGTCAATGATTTACCTCGTTTAAGAAAATGTTCATACGTAGATCATGCTCTTGCGTATCGAATCAACTGAGATATAATTTTACACTTCGTATGCAGGTGATTAAGGTTTATTGCTGCGTGAGTAAGGGAAGTTGACGATAGAAAAGTTAAAGTCATTACGTTTGTCATATAGCTTGGTTGTGAGATTACTATTAACATCTTTATCAAGTAAAATATCCAAGTATGAAACTGATTGATTGATTGATTGAATATTGTTTAACGCCGAGTCGGCAATTTTCAGCCATGTTTCGGCGTATGAAACAGATGTGTCAGACTTTAGCTGTGGTATCTTTTATCTCAAGCTCTTCAGGATATATAGTATCGAAGTAGGAATGAAAATTTCCATTGTTAATTGACAATACGTCGTCGACATATCTAAATGTCGAGTTGAAGGCCACAGCAAGTGTTTTCTTCTTTTCACGCATAAGATCCTGGACACATTCAGCTTCATATGAATACAAAAATAGGTCTGCTAATAACGGAGTGCAATTGGAACTCATGGAAATTCCAATAGATTGTTTGAAGACCTGGTCTCCAAAACCCATATTTTTTTCAATCAGAAACTCTAGCACCTTTTTGATGTCAACATCAGAGTACTTGTGTGTGTGTAATCAGAGTGTGTTCTAATTAAATAATTTTGCAAATGACCAATTACCAGGTAAGAGAATTCAAGAGTTCTATTTTTACTGAAAAGGCAGTTTTCAATGATATCAAAAAGATTTATCGCGGGGAATGGTTGTGTATTAAGTTGAAAAGTCGTAATTTTTAAGCTGTTGATTTTGGTAAAATCTTGTGATTTCAAATTGTTCAAAAGTTCTTTGGAATTTTTGAGTATCCACCTCTGATTCACACCACTTCTTGAATATATTGTTGCAGAGTACTCTTGAAGTTTTTCCTTCATTTCTGCCCATATCTTAGCGAGATGAAAAAAAGAAGCATGGTTAAACATTTAAGGGAACCCGCAATGTGTCTTTGTTGGCAAGGATTCTTATGAAGTTTCGGAATCCAATATATATAGGGTAGTTCAAATTCATTTTAGCTCTGTGGAATATTAAAAATATTCAAAACCGACATCTGATTTTGAAGAATTTCTTCCTCAGAAAAGGGAAGTATGAGTATAAGAAGGATTAACACTTGTAGAAATAAATCCAAGTTCTTCTAAAATATAATTTGTATAATAAGCCTTACAAACAAAGACAATATTGTTACCTGCTTTGTCGGCAGGGACCAGTACGTACTGATAATGTAATCTATCTAATTCTTGTCTCACTTCTGGATTATTGAACACAGAAGGATAGATGGTTTTCATATTGCCCCTCAATCTTTTAATACGCGACTTAAACATAGATCTGATACATTTAATCCATTGGTTTGAACATATTTTATTGTAATATAATTACAAAGGGATTAGGCACAAGTTCTGAAAACTTATAACGCCCTCACCCTATTTAATCCATTCTGCAAAAGTGTCAACGTCTTCTTTTTCATATCTGGCCCGTAGTCTGGCGTAATTTACAACACAATCCATAACATATATGAAATTCTAACGCCAGTTGAAGGAGTGGTGTTATGCATTCTGCTTTAAAATACATACTTTTTAACTACCTTACATAAAGTATTAATTTTTCTCATGTATATATAGGAATTACCATACACATCGAGAACGTTCTTATGACGATATTAAAAAAATACTCCAAAACTGGCAAAAATTTACATCTGAGTGAATAACAGTTGAACCTTCAGAGATATCTATAAATTAAAAAAAAACTTCCCTTTCCAACACTTTTTTAGCCCAAGACACCTGATCAATGGTGCTGTAACACCCTTTCCCTTTTTCTTCTGAGATTTTATAGGCATTACCTTTGCAAATTAATGAACTCTGTTAGTCTATCATGCCATTACTTCGATATAAAGTTCTAGAACATACCGTCTAAAAGTTAATTCTAGATAAAAGTTTGGAATTTTGGGGTAAAATTGTCTCAAACTCCAAGGTCGATGTCATAAGGTCAAAATTGGTTGTACACAAAAAAGGGTCTTGTCATAAAAATACAACTGTGAAATATTAAAGCCATAGTCCCACCCAGTTTAAAGATATGGGTAATATTTATGTGCTCAAGTATACAAACAGACGCACGGACAGGTAAAAAAAAAACAACAACTATATACTAGTACCCACGAAACTTCGTTTACGGAAGCATGAGTATAACGTTAAAGTAGTAACTTTTTCATCATCCAACATTTTTTTTAAAATTTTCTATTGGTCATGAAAGCATTAAATATACATATAGAACGGGGAAAACGATATTACATGTGCCAATTTATGGTAAGACGCACACTCCTTTTTTGTAGTTAATCATGTATTATGCTACAACCCCCATTTTGATAAGGTTTTGTTGATACTAGCAAACAACAAAAAGACATTTTACAGGTTTTGATCTAATCACATTTTGTTTCCCTTGTAACAAGGTCAGAGGCATTTTAATTTCGTACTTATTTTTACAAACGAAATCATCCCTATTTTTTATGAGAAGTTTGAAACTTCATTCATAAAAAAACCAAGTATTTTTGTAAGATCTAATTTTCTAAGCTAGCGCCCTTTTTCGCGCCAGTTTTAAAAGTAGGGATCAAAAACGTTAAACTTTTGAAAAATAAAACTTTAGTTTGATTT